GAGAAAGCATGAGCAGTGGGGAGGGACAGAGTGCAGAGAGAGAAGCAGACGCCCCACTGAACAGGGAGCCTGATCCCAGGACCCTGAGATCGTAGACCTGAGCTGAGATCAAGAGTTGGATGCTTAGCCAACTGAGCTACCCAGACACCCCAGAAATAATATCATATTTATAGAAAAGTTGTAAGAATAGTACAAAAACTTTTTTAAAAGATTTTATTTATTTGAGAGAGAGCGAGTGAGAGAGAAAGCACAAATGGGGGGAGGGGCAGAGAGAGAGGGAGAAGCAGACTCCCCACTGAGTGGGTAGTCAACACAGGGCTTGATCCCAGGACCCCAGAATCATTACCTGAACCCAAAGCAGATGCTTAACCAACTGAGCCACTTAGGCACCCTTGCAAATGGTTAGATTTTTTTAAAGCAAGGAGGAGGATGTGAAAATGAGCATATATCCCCTAATTTGTACTATTAAGGAGTAATCTTAGAAGAACATCATGATATAGAGTCTCTCTTGTTCCAAAAAGGTTTTTCTGAAACCAGAATGAGATGCAGAATGCAATTGTACTTTAGTGGTTGGATATCAAATGAAATAAATTGGAGGCTGATTAGTAAAATGAAGAATCACCTGATGGTAACATGAAACGTTTCCTTTACATATAGTTTTCGGTATACTATTAACTCAGTAAAGGACTTTTTTCTTATATTTGTGCCATGTCAGGGCAGTTAATTATTTATAAGAATGTGCAGGCTAATATCCTAGGGGAAGTGCAGGCTGTTCCAAAGTCTCCATGAAACTACGTTAGCCTTGTCTAACCTGTGCTTTTCTTCTGAATACATAGAAATCTATTAAATGACCTGTTTTGAAAGAAACACGAGTGGTTTGTTGGTCAGTATACCCTTGTGTTAGCCTGTGGGCTTCCTCCCCCTTTCTTCTGTCATGATCACTCACACGAATGGGTGCTCAAGCTTTATCATTGTTTGTATGGCTTGTTGAGAGCAGTGCCCAATAGCCGTTTGGAAATCTGGAGGGTGGATGGGCAAGCGCACTGTCCAAAATCTGTGAGGGTCTCTCATCTCCACCTGTATGTCCATGTAGCACTGCCAGGTGAGTCCCTTCACTCCTCTGGGCTTCAGCTTCATCCTCACGAACGGGAGAAAACAGCGCCTGTCTCTGAGGCTTGTGAGGCTCAAGTGGGCCTGTTCATGAGGAATTATGAATCGTGGTACCGCCTACCAATGCTTTCAAAGCTGCTTCTCCCCACCCTGGAACCCTGTGAGAATGTTCCCGGTTCTGTGGTTTTACCCGGGTGACTTTAACTTACAACAGACCTCTGTTCACGGTGCCGTCCGCCCAGCGCTGCTTGGGCATGTTACTCACCTCGCTCATTTGGATTCTTGCAATTGAATTTTTTTGGGAGATCCACACAAATTGGTTCTTAACTCATAAAATGTGGGAATGCCAAAGAGCGGTTGCTCAACTAAAACAAATGAAAATGGAATCATCTGGAGACACAAGAGGCAAAGGAAAAGTTAATGATGCTTAAGATTTTTGTAATGAGACGGAACATTTCATTTTGCTGGGGCTTGTTACGTACATCACGTCCTCTACTGAACAATCACCTAATTTTCACTGTGTTGTTTCAATAAGTGATACGGTTCTTTCTAGTCCTTGAGACACTATACAAAGGAAATGTCTGTGCTCATATTTTTTTCATCGTAGGAGTAGACCTGAACTATCTAAGAAAACTACATATAAAATGGTATTGAATGCAATTTTGAAAATGATTCCTAACAATTATACCAGCTGTATACCTTTTTGCATCATCTTTGCAACTGTATACCTTTTTTGCATATCCTTCTATTCTTTGCGATAGTTGCAAATATACAACTTCGACATAAGTTTTACCTAGCTTCTCCTCACACAGTTTTAGAGACTTCTTTTTGCCTTAACATGACATCATAGATGTTTTCCCATATCACAATATTATCTTCTTGTTTATGGTTTTAAAGGATTGGATACTGTTGCATTTGTTCATGTGTCATAACTCTTGAAACACTTCCCAGTCGTTGGGCACTTAAGTTGTCTCTGTTTTATATATTATTCATAATGCAACTATTATTTTCCACCCCTAGTGTCCATCTTCTCTTAAATTGTTTTCTTAGGATAACTTCCCAGCAATGAGATTACTATTCAAAGAATTTGAATAACTTTCTAATTCTTGGTCTATTGCAGTACATTTCACTGCCTGTTTCAGCATTCTTTTTTTTTTTTAAAGATTTTATTTATTTGACACAGAGAGAGAGGGAAAGAGCACAAGCAGGGGGAGTGGCAGAGGGAGAGGGAGAAGCAGGCTCCCCACTGAGCAGGGATCCCAAAGGGGGACTCAATCCCAGGACCCTGAGATCATGACCTGAGCCGAAGACAGATGCTTAACCGACTGAGCCACCCAGGCACCCCTGTTTCAGCATTCCTCAACAGCACTGGGCTGCACTGACTGAGGATGGTCCAGATACTGGACATTTACATGTTGGTGGATTTACAGTCTTCAGTTGGAAAACAGCTTAACCTTGGGGTTATTTTAAAGGAAAAACTATGAAGAGGCTAGAACTAAACCAAGGCAGAGGTTTCTGAGCTTTGGCTGTTTTACTCGTACAATTGATTCTGCCATTTCGTGACACTTGGCACCTATTTATGTCTAAGCAGTGAGTTATTTCAGTGTGTGTGCGCGTGCGTGTGCACACAGGTGTGGGTAGAATGTGAAGGCTGGTCACATTGAAATTGTGAGAGGGAGCGCAAGACATAACGCATCCCATGAATGTGACTCACAGCTGGCCGTTCAAGGAACTCTGACTTACGGTAACATGGTATTGGCAAAAGTAGAGAAGCTGTTGCTTGCAGGGGCCTGTCAGGTGCTGTGTGTGAGTGAGACTGCGGGGTAGGACAGGACAGGAGGTCAGGGACAGGGTGAAGTGGGGAAGACAGGCCTTATCCAGGAATGTGCTTCTCCTTCACTCCCTCTGATAGCTGCCACAAAGGAATGCCTGACTGGTATCTCTAGCACTTACAATTTCTCAAGAGAATTGGGAAATCTAAAGTTTTAGGGGTCTTTGTCCATTTAAGCTACTATAACGAAACTACTCTCGACTGAATGGCTTGGAGAGCAAACCTGTATTTCTCACAGTTCTGGAGGTGGGAAGTTCAAGATCAAGGTGCTGGCGGAATTGTTTTGGGTGAGAGCCCATCTCCTTTCTCCTAGACAGCCTTCTTTATGATGTGTCCTCATGTGGCAGAAGGGGTAAAGGAGCTCTCGGGGCCTCTCTTATGAGGGAATGAATCCCATTCACTATCTTTGCTCTGTATTTGCTCTCTGAACTCACAGGCTGCCAGTTTGTTCTGGTGGCTTTAAAGATTGCAAGATTCTACTGTGAGCCTTTTCTTGAAAAAAATTTGTATTCATGGGGCTCAGTCGGTTGGGCATCTGCCTTTGGCTTGGGTCATGATCTCCAGGTCTTGGGATCAAGCCCCACATCAGGTTCCCTGCTCGGCAGAGAGCCTGCTTCTCCCTCTCGCTCTGCCTCTCCCCCTGCTTGTGCTCTGTCTCTCTCTCAAATGAATAAATAAAATCCTTAAAAATTTTTTAAAAATTTGTATTCATTTGGTCTGCCCATAATTTACCAAGTGGTACATAGGCTGTGTTCCAAATAATACATGCTTTGTCATATTTGAAATGATGTTTCATTGAATTAATATTACCTTGGATTTCGTCTGGTGATCATAATCAAATTATACCAACAACTGAGTAATTTGCTCCATCCAGTGGAAAAAGGATCTGTCAAACTCTTATTTTTGTCTCTCAAACAATTCATCCCTAACTATAATTCAGAAGCCTGTTTGACATGCTAAAGAATACTTTAAGAAGCACCTTATATCACAGTTTCTGTGGGACCAGAATCCAGGATGGCTTAACAGGGTGCTCGGCTCAGCGTGTCACAGGCTACAGTCAAAATGTTGGCCAAGCTGTGTTCTCAACTGGAGGCTTACCAGGAAAAAATCTGCTTCCAAGCTCACTTGGGATGTTATGGAAGAATTTGTTTCTTTTTTGTTGTAGGACTGAGAACTTCAGCTTTTTGCTGTCTCCTAGAGGCTGTCCTTAGCTCCCACAAGCTGCCCACAGTCCTTTCCACGTGGCCCCCTCCATAGGCAGTGTGCAATATGGCAGCTTGTTCTTCAAGGCCACCAGGAGAGTGAGAGCAAGTTTTCTAGCAAGACTGAGTCTTACACAACATGAGATTCATATCCTGTCACCTGTGCCCTACTCTGGTTAATACCAAGTCGCAGGTCCCACCCTCACTCAAGGGGAGGGATTATATACAGTCAAGAACAACAGGAGGCACGGGTGGCTCAGTCGTTAAGCATCTGCCTTCGGCTCAGGTCATGATCTCCGGGTCCTGGGATCGAGCCCCGCATCAGGCTCCTTGCTCAGCGGGGAGTCTGCTTCTCCTTCTCCCTCTGCCCCACCCCCTCCCACTTGTGCATGCTCTCTCTCTTTGTCAAATAAATAAATAAATAAATCTTTAAAAAAAAAAAGAACAACAGGAGACGGGACTATAGGAGTACCTTAGAGTCTGCCCACCATAAGGATTCCCAGTGCCCTGAAATACTGCCTGGCACCTAGTAGATGCTCAGTGAGTGTTGGTAGTTGAATGAATGAATGTTGCAGATATTACTTCTTTGAACCATGTATTGCTAATTTTTTTTTGCAAGTCTATGGTTTATCATTTGGCTTTATTTATTACATCTTATGATATGTAGGAATGTTAAATTTTAATTTAGATAAATCAACCAAAATTTCCTCTGAGTTTGTTACATTACGTCTCAGGGAGTCCTTCTTCTTCTATCTAGATATCAGATAAATATTTGCCTATATTTTCACCTAGATTTTTAATGATTTTTTTTTTTTTTGCTTTTAACATTGACCTATCTAGAAGGTTAAGAACTAGAGGGAGAGTTGTAACATGATATAGTGAGTAATCTTTTTATCTCCACCAGTCTCTGCTACCTTATTTAGTTATATTGAATTATTATGTACTTGCTGCTGGGCTCTCTATTCTGATTCATTTATTTGTCATTCTCTTCTTGCCTTAATTACACACTTAAAAAATAATAGCATTGAAGAAAAAAATTTAAAAATAAAAAAATAAAAATTATAGCATTGCTAGTCAGAAATGCCAAAGAAGTTACTATCAGACTCATTTGGTGTTATAAGTAGGACATGGTCTAAGCTGCTGTAACAGAGAGACGCCAAAACACAGAGGCTCAAATAAAATGGAAGCTTTTTGGTATTTTGTGTAATGGTGTAGAGGTCTGTGAAATCCAGAGCTGGAGAGGCAGCCCTTCTCCACCATCATCTGGGGACCCAGGCTCCTTCTACCCTGTAGCTCTGCCAGCCCCCAGGGAGCCGTCCTGGTCTGTGTGGGTGAAGCTGTCTCACCCCCACATCCATGCTCGTCTGTGGGAAAGGGGGTGGTGGAAGTCCTAGGAAAGTGCCTTTGCCTTTGAGCTCATGAACTAGAAATGGTGCATCACTTTTTCTTCCATCCCTTTTATTTAGACTAAATCTACCACAAGAGAAGCCACATCTGCCTTCAAGAGAAGCTGGGAAATATGGTATCAAACTGGGTGGACATGGATTTGGCTAAATTTTGGGAGGATCTCTTAATAAAAAGAAGAAGAATGGGTACCAAGAACAACTAATGGTCTTTGCCTCAGTCCAGCATTCATAGTTACAAATAATCATATTTAACAGGAAAGTAATGATCATTTTTGTCAAGTGAAAAATCAACCTTTGGGTATGAAAATAAAATACAAATATATCCTGATTTTTGGTTTTAGATGGCCAATAACCTATGTGCCAGGTAGCATTCCATGCCAATCTTGAATGCCAAGAGGAAGTCACTGGACAGCAAATCTCTTCCAGGATCAGAACTGGGCTATTGGAGTAACCCAAGAAAGAAGAAAAAATAATTGAAGCCATGGCCAAAGGAACTAGAGTTCGGTCTACCTCTCCTCCCGATGGAGGCTGGGGCTGGATGATCGTGGCTGGCTGTTTCCTTGTTACCATCTGCACCCGGGCAGTCACCAGGTAGGTGGGATTCTCTTCATCATTGATTAAGATGATCTGGCTTGTCTTTTCTTCTAAGTCTGCTTCATTCTATTTCTGAACCTGTCATTGTGAAAATATGTGTGTGTGTGCATGGTGTGTGTGTGTGTGTGTGTGTGTTTCCTTTGTTTGGATGTCTTTTTCTTTGCCAGGAATGGGATTTTCTGACACTTGCAAGTCCTGGATAGTGGTGTCTTCTGTAATATCTGGCACAGAAACCTGGAGCATTAGGGCATTTTTAGATTAAATGTTATGGCTGTTTCAGCCATTTGTTTTCATAAGCAGCTCATCCCAGAAAAGAAAAATACATAAGGTCCAAACAATCCTTGAAAACCTCTTGACTCACCAGATGCTGAGCCGTTGGAAGCTTCAAACCTAGAATTTAAATTCTTCTGCTTCATTTTACACTTGACCATGGTGCTGGAGGCTAAGTTCTAGATTGAAGGAAAGTAACAGTAGAAGTACAGGCTTCTCTTATTCTCACTTGTTCATTTCTTCTCTCTTTCTTTTATCCAAGGGTGTAGTGTTGAATATGCTTGAGTTACACCTGTATATGTTGGGACTCATTCATCTCATCTTTATATTTGGAATAAGTGCATGCTTGAAATCTGCATATGCTAGCTCTTTCTTCTGCATGTGTTTTCATTCAAGTAGAACTCCTTGTTCTTTTCTGACAATGCACCTTCAGCAGTGAAACAAAGTAATTTGCCCTAAAAATTTTATTTGATGACATCCTTCATAAAAGCATCGGTGTTTCCCCCCATAACAATATATAATGCAGGAAAGAAGCAGGATATTTGTTTTTACTACAATAAAGGTTGGTTGATTATGTATCATTTAAAAAATTATAGATTCATTTAAAATGATGTGATTGGTATTGAGTCTGAATTTTCTTCCATCTATATCACGGATCTTGTGTTCTGGGTGTAGGAGTCTTAGAGTTAAAAAGGAATCTCTTGGTTTTTACATGCGGAAGCTTCCATCATTTCCATGACAGGAAAGTTCTGGAAGTGAGTTCAGCACTTTATAAGGAGGGCTCAGGTCGATATCTTTCGGGTAGTGGAGTCTTCATGACGCAGTTTAGGCAGAATAGGCTTATTTACCCCCATGTCATAGATTAGGACCCTGGTGTTCAGAAAGGTTAAGTGACTTACCCACAGTTTTGGTCTGCTGGGACAGAACTGGACTGGATTTCTAGTCTTTTTTTTTTTTTAACTTCTTATCTTGTGTATTTGCTATTGTATGTGCGCACATAATCCATCGACTCCTTCCAACACAAACCAGGTGTTTTCCTATCCTCTTATTTCTCATACACACACCATACTTCTGCCTGATCTTCCATATGCATGTGTATATCCACACACATGTCCTTTCTCGGTGCCTTTGCATTTCGAGAAGTGACTTTGCTTCAGTATTCACCTTCGTCCTGCTCCAAGATGTAGGCACTTTGAGGAAGCTCCGTGGTCAGTTCCTTGCCCCCTCAAACACTCTGCACCTTCTCCTCTTGAACAGCATAGTCTTACCAGACATAGGTTTTTTAAAAATTGCCTTGGTGATGGCATCATTGTCTTAAGGTAAGCTACTTCCTAATCTCCACAGGGTTGTCACATCCAGTAATGAGAAGTCATGGGGCCAGGGGACAGCTGCTTCTAAATTCTTCTGACAGAGGCTCTCTACTCTCCCTGTCCTGTTGCTAACTAGTGATGAGAGTGGTCATCCTCAAGTCATGTACAAACAACTACACATTAAGGCTGGGGATATGTGGATTCTTTGAGTGTTGTCCTCTGGAACTATGGAAATAACTTGGGGTAGGTGTCTGTCGAAAACTGAGGACTTAGAGCAAAGACACTAATTTACTGATGTTCTTTAATGCTCGTTTAGCATCTTGTGTGGCTTGTCTTGTTTGGCAGGACACTGAATCTCAGTTTTTTCTCAGTCACAGTGGATTTGCCAGTGGAACCCGTGACTGTCACCAAGGGCTGAAAGTCTTGCATTTTTTTTTAGGTTGTACCCTTAAGTTTTCAACTTTGATTTAATAGAAATCAGGCTCACTAATATATAACTATACATTCACTGAGGACAAGGCTCTATCTAGGCGCTTCCGAAAACACAAAGATGTTGGAACACCACCCCATAGACTCAGGCACAAATAACTGAAATACAAATCAAAATGTGCTAAATATACATCAGGTAAAAACAGAGTGTAAAATAACACTGGTGAGAGAGGGGTTCATTCTGACCGGCAGTTCAGGGCAGGCTTTCTAGAGAAGTTGTCCCTGGAGTGAAGTCTTGAAGAATGGGTAGCATTTGGGCAGGAAGAAATGACAAGAGAAAGAGGTTTCCAGCTGCATCAGGTCCATGCACTTCATCTGCTACTCACTTTGTGATCACAGTGGGCAGCCCCCGTTCCTGACCTGCTACAGGTTTAGCCAGAAACCAGGAGAGGGTTGTGGCTGGTGGCGAAGACCTCTTATCAGACGTTAATGGGAGAGGCTGAGAGGGGCATAGCTGAGCAGAATTAAGCTCAGAGGAGAAAAGTGTGAAGACACAGCCAGCATTGGAACTCAATGTCATGAACACGCAGCAACCAAGAGGACTGGCGATCGGGCCAAGGAAAGCAACTGCAAGGGTGATTTGTCAACGCAGAGGATCAGTGCCTATTAGGCAATTAAGTCTTTTTTTTTTTTTCCTATTTAAACTGTATACTTAAAAATTAAACCATACTGGGGGCGGTGGGGGGGAACCTGGGTGGCTCAGCTAATTAAGCATCTGCCTTCGGCACAGGTCATGATCTCGGGGTCCTGGGAATAAGGCTCTGAGCTCAGCAGGGAGTCTCCTTGTCCTGCTCCCACCCCCTCTGCTCATCCTCTGGCTCTCTTTCTCTCTCCCTCTTTCTAAAATAAATGAATAAATCTTTTTTTTTAAGATTTTATTTATTTATTTGGCAGAGAGAGTTGCAAACAAAAGCAGGGGGAGCGGCAGGCAGAGGGAGAAGCAGGCTCCCCGAGGAGCAGGGAGCCCATTGCGGGGGCTCGAGCACAGGATGTTTAACCGACTGAGCCACCCAGGCACCGCTAAATGAATAAATCTTTTTTTTTTTTTAAGATTTTATTCATTCATTTGACAGAGAGAGACAAAGTGAGAGAAGGAACACAAGCAGGGGGAGTGGGAGAGGGAGAAGCAGGCTTCCCGCTGAGCAGGGAGCCCAATGCGGGGCTCGATCCCAGGACCCTGGGATCATGACCTGAGCCAAAGGCAGATGCTTAACGACTGAGCCACCCAGGCCCCCTAAATCTTAAAAAACAGTTAAGCCATACATCCAGATGGTAAAAATTTGAATACAGAGATGCATAAAATAGTCTTTTTCTCCTCACTTCCTGAATGCCAGTTTCACTGCCCAAAGTTAACCTTGTTAATCGTTTCTTCAGACCTGCCCCCCATAATTTTTAAGAACTTATATCCATATATAAAGCATATTCTTTTCATATTATACATACTGTTTTGAACTATGTTTTGCTTAATAATATCTCTTGGAAATTTTCCATATCAGCATGTGCAGTTGTACCGCACTGAAAAATAAATGCTTAAAATTCCATCACGAGGATGTGAGCATAATTTATTTAACACATTTTTATTGAAGGACTTTTGTATTGTTGCCTGGTTTTTGCTTTATGAACGATGCTACCGTCATGACCCAGGCCACTTTAAAATCATATTTCAGCTCTTGCCTTGTAACTGATGATGCTGCCTTCCATGTGAAATTTACATAAAGCTTAAATTGTCCAGGCCATTAAAGCTGTCCTTATTTCTTTTCTCTCTCTGTTCATTAATGTGTGTTGATTACTTATGTTTTTCTTCAAGATATCTTATTAGCAAACACATTCTCTATTTTAAGAATCTTGTTTCATTGTGAAATTACATGACATTCTATTTGTAAACTGACAGCTTGAGTTGGAGTTGACTTGAAAAGCAATAGTTGATTTAAATGTTCGAAGAAAGCCTCCAGCTATAAGACCTATTATTTGCAATAGATGTCTACAGTCCTGTGGGATTGGGGAGCTCTTTTAACAACAGCTGAATTCCTGTTAGTAATAGCTAATGTTAGCTGAGTCCTTGCTCTGTGCTGGTTAACATTGTTCCAAGCACTCTTCATTCATTAAATCATTTAGTCCTTGGAACAACACACAGAGGTCAAATGATATGCAAAGTCACATGGTTATCCTGAAGCCAACATTGCACTGTATGTTAACTAAAATTTAAATAAAAATCAGAAGAAAACCATACAAATAATACATTTACTTTAATAAGAAAAATTAAAGAGCTGCAAAAACAAAAAATAAAGTCACATGGTGAGTGAGTAGTAATTCTTTCAACTATTAGGCTGCACTGTCCAGTGGATCACTTCCTGCACTGATGTAGTGGACAACTGCATCAATCAGAGGAAAGTCTTGACCAACCAGATGTTGTCAGCATCCAGCTCTTTAGAAGCCAAAGAAGAATTTTATAGCAGAGTGGCAAGGTGGAGACAGTAGGCATGTTGGCCCCTTGAGAGAAAGTGTCTTTGAGAATGTTATTTCATACCAGATGACACTTGGGTGATATTTTGTTTCTTTTTTTTTTTTTAAGATTTTATTTATTAGAGAGAGAGTGATGGAGAGAGAAAGCACAAGCTGGGGAGGGGTGGAGGGTGAGGGAGGAGCAGACTCCCCACTGAGTAGAGAGTGGGACTCCATCCCAGGACCCTGAGATCATGACCTGAGCTGAAGGCAGACACTTAACCGACTGAGCCATCCAGGTGCCCCAATAATTTGTTCCTCATTCTTAGGAATAGAGCCTATCAACCCCTGAAGGATGTTAGGAGTTGTTTGCTACTGCAGCCTGATCTAATGCATTATGGCTGATCCAGTTATGTTTATCAAACTGCTTATTTAATAGATGGGGAAGCGTTATCAAAATTCTCAGTTACGGGCGCCTGGGTGGCT